AAGAGTTTTATCTTAGACATTCTTTGCATTTACTTTTGTTAAATATGCATTTGCTACTGTGTATATTGCAACTTAAAAAGCTTAGATAATATATAATAATATTCTGGTTTTGTTTCTCTTGAAGCTGCTTTAAATGTTTCACTTGTATTTCACTGTAGTACCTTAAAATGTGAGATTGAGTAAAACCATACAATATATATGGGAGTCTATTATATTTGACAGATTTTTGTAAAGACTTAACTATAAAATTTCAGTAAAACATTTTGATAGTCACGTGTGTGCGTCAGGAGTGGTGGAAGACAACTTGATAGCCTGGTTGATGCTTCTCTTCCTTTCCAAGCCTAAGTTTGATGCTCCTTTTGTCCCACAGGAGCTGAATGAGCTGCGTGAAACAGAAGGCGGCACAGTTCTTACTGCCACAACATCAGAACTCGAGGCTATCAACAAACGAGTGAAAGACACCCTGGCACGATCAGATGGTTGGTAATACCACTTTTTCCAAAAAACCTGCCTGTTGTTCTGAGAGTTCACATATATGGTGTTTTGGTTTAGAAAATGGAGCATCGTTTGAAAAGCAATCAAGTAATATGCAGTTGTCTAATACAAGTTATATGCATTAGTCATACATTGTGTAACAGGTTCTTGGAACTTATTCCAAAAAATAAATAATGCAGAATTTTGTACAAATCGAACAGAAATGAAGGATGTCCATGTTTGCACATGCATAAATTATCCCAGTAAATATGCATGTGTAATAAGAGAATTCTGTTTTCAGGGCATAGTACTTTTAGAAGCAACTTCTGTATTTACTGGTATGGTCTTGTAGAGTTGTTCCTGAATTTTGCCTATCTCTATCTCATACTGAGTTGCTGCAAAACAGGAAATGGCATCTGTATGGATCACGGTTTTTTTTTTCCATTTTTCTCTAGAATTTAACGTGACCTTATCTTGTTTCTTTGATCTTTCTTTAGTTATATGCTCAGGGCATATAACTAACTAAATAAATTCAATAATATTTTTGAAAAAAAAAAAGGGTATTTCAGCTTTTTTATCTTATCTCTAACTTTCTAATTCATCTGTGTATTTTGAAATATATACATATATATCCATCCAGAGAGGATGTTTTAAGATAGTTGACTGGATAACTGCTAGCTTTATACAAACTTACCACTTTGTTTTCCTCTTTTCTTCCCCTCAATATCTCAGATCTGGATAATTCTATTGACAAAACAGAGGCAGGAATTAAAGAGCTTCAAAAAAGCATGGAACGCTGGAAGAACATGGAAAAAGAACATATGGATGCCATTAACCATGACACAAAAGAACTTGAAAAAATGACTAACAGGCAAGGCATGCTCCTCAAGAAAAAAGAGGAATGCATGAAGAAAATCAGAGAGTTGGGTTCACTTCCACAGGAGGCCTTTGAAAAATACCAGACTTTAAGTTTAAAGCAGGTAATAATGTGTTTAGTTTCATGCTATAACAATATAAAATGTTTAATGTATGTATGGGATCACACGCATCTTGATTGTCCTATGTGGCTAGAACTGAAGCTCACTTTATGTTAATATTTTTCCCTATGCAGCTATTCCGCAAACTAGAGCAGTGTAATACAGAACTGAAGAAATACAGCCACGTGAATAAAAAAGCCTTAGATCAGTTTGTGAACTTCTCAGAACAGAAAGAAAAACTAATAAAAAGACAAGAGGAGCTGGACAGAGGCTACAAGTCCATCATGGAGCTGATGAATGTACTTGAGCTGAGGAAGTACGAAGCTATTCAGCTGACTTTCAAACAGGTAACATGGACAGCAGCTAGGAAGAACCTAGAGTTGCTACATAATTTCATGTTGCAATATGTAGCTGTGACAGGGAAGAAAAGGAGATATTGCATAATAGAAAACTCTCTGTAACTGAGGCTTTATTTCTTCAAATAATGTTAAATAAGTTAGCACTTTAAATAACTCATGACCTAGGTTGTGTGGCCATTCTGGTTTCTCTGTGATCTTTTAGAACACTTTGTTGAATTTCAACCTTTCTGGGGGAAGTTTGTTATCAAACTGTGCTCCCAAGTCTGCTCTGAGTTAAGTGAAAGGCATTGCTGCTGTTAGCCAAGAGTCTTACTGTGGTATATAAAGTTTTTTCCTGGAGATTCTTTGCAACTTTTAACCTCATCTTAAGTTCACTGAAATCGTACTTGTTTGCTACTGTTCCATGTTTTAATTGTTTTCCTTGTGAAAAATCTTGTGCTGTGAAAGTTGGTTGAAATGTTTAGAGCAATATCTGTGTATCAGGTATGTTTCCAGTTTGTGCTTGAGTGTGAGTGCAGATCCCTGAAGAAAATAACATCACACAATTATATAAAAGTAGTAGTTGTTTCTGCTTTATTTGGTAATTTAGAAATAACCTGAACTGCTATTTGCTTTCCTTTTTATCTAAAGGTGTCAAAAAACTTCAGTGAAGTTTTCCAGAAATTAGTTCCTGGTGGCAAAGCCACGCTAGTGATGAAGAAAGGAGATGTGGAAGGCAACCAGTCCCAGGATGAAGGTGAAGGCAGCACTGAGAGTGAAAGGGGATCTGGATCGCAGAGCAGTGTTCCATCTGTAGACCAGTTCACTGGAGTTGGCATAAGGGTAAAAAGAAGTATTTGTATTTCAATGCTCTCAATAGTCTTTCAGATTAAATGTATAGTTAAAATGGTAAAAAGTCAACGTTGAGTTTTGTTTGCTATTTATTTGTTGTGCTGATTGTGCTATCAGTACAATAGCAAATGATGTGTGGTCTAGTACTTTAGGATTGTCTAACTGTAGTCATTTTCTTAGGTATCTTTCACAGGAAAACAGGGTGAAATGAGAGAAATGCAGCAACTTTCTGGTGGGCAGAAGTCGTTAGTGGCCTTAGCGCTGATATTTGCTATCCAGAAGTGTGATCCGGCTCCGTTTTACCTGTTCGATGAAATCGACCAAGCTCTTGATGCCCAGCACAGAAAGGCTGTTTCAGGTAGCTGTCTGCTTTGTTTTTTTTTAAGCATAAAATAATGTGGTTGAAGCTGATGGTCTGTCTTGTAATGTCTGCTGAAGTTTCAGGAAGCCTTTCATTGTAGCCCTCATTTAAATAAATGCTGCGTGCGTATGTTAGTAGAAAACTTTTTATCTTCTGAAGATTTCTATTAGCTCAGTTTTGAGTAGAAGCTCTATCTTAACATATAGTGTTTAAAGGGTCTTCTCAATACATTTCAATGTAATTGAAATATTGCTGTTTTTGAAATGTGGTTTAGTTAAGAACCAACTCTTACTGCAATTGGTGGGAGAAGTGCTTAGCCTATTTCCCATCATAAAAACATAATGCACTGATTTATCAAATGTTTGGATTTGTCAGGGTTAACACTGGAACTAAAATGTAAAACCTAATTAAAAAAATAGACATGGAGCCATTCTTGATTTGTTCTATTTTTACCAGTGAGCAAAACCTTGTTTAAGCAAGGAATAACAGAGGATTTACATTTGTCCTCTTGCATTGAAAAGTCAGCATTAATAAGAAATTCTTGTGTTTTTCTCTTCAAGATATGATCATGGAACTAGCTGAACATGCTCAGTTTATTACAACAACATTTAGGCCTGAACTGCTTGAGTCAGCTGACAAGTTCTATGGTGTAAAATTCAGAAACAAGGTAAATAAGTTTTATTTCTGATATTTACCGAAAACTACCAGACTGTTAATTTGAGACTGAATTTTCCATTTCCTCAGAGTTGCAAGCGAGCCCTGACTTATTTTAGTGGTGGCTCTCTGGTTATTTTGGAGTCTGGTGTAGAATTTATCCCTTTCCTGAAGGAGAATTAAAGGATCTAGATCTGTCCCTTGTCCTTTGCTTTAAATGGAAACCAGGCATTTGTTATAAACCCATTGAAGCTTGCTGGAAACTTTTGGGAATAAGGCTTTTTTTTTTCTTTTTTTCTTTTTTTTTTTTTTTTTTTTTTTTTTTTTTTTTTTTTAAGATATTTCTAACCACTGCATCCTCCTTGTTCCACCAGGTCAGTCATATTGATGTGATCACGGCAGAAATGGCCAAAGACTTTGTAGAAGATGACACCACTCATGGTTAAACAGAACTGTACTGACAGCTTGTTTGAGAATGTGTATAGAGTGCTGTTTATGCCGGGGAACTGTAAATTTAAAATACAAAATACTTAGTCCTTGTTTAAAATAGTTTTTGAACATACGTTTTAACCAAAACCCCAGAAGGTTTAGTTTCAGAGGAGCTTGAGTACTTGTTTTGTCTCTGTTGCTGTATTTTATAAGATAATTGTTAATGTTACCTTTATACAGTACCTGTAGTCTGAGAGTTTTATTCCCCTCCCTCAAATCTTTTGTAAAGTGTCCTATTGCTGTTTTAAAGCTTTTCAAAAAGTGCTAGGTATTCCTTCCTAATTATAATTTTATCATTTATATTGCCTCACATGTTTTTTTAATAGCTTCAATTAAAATGATTGGTTTTATCGCTGTAACTTCTTTTGGTTTATGCTGCCTTTCTTTAGGGGATTTCTCTGAGATGGAGTAAATGTATTGGTCATGTTGGAGCTAACCAGAAGTATGAGACAATTATTGGTTCAAGGCCTACTTCTCTCTTTGCATATTGTCAATGGGATTTTCAGGGGCAGTGTAATAATTCCTCATGTTTTTTCATCCTGGAGAACCAGCAGAGCTTAGGCCAGGTATCAGTCACCAAAATAGGAATCATTTCCTGATGCCAAGCTAGACTTCTGACAAAGTGATAGTGTTTCCTGTGTTGTTTTGTAAAGCTTAAGGGTTTTCCCAGCCTTTTTTTTTTTTTTTTTTTTTCATGACTCATATCAAAGCAGTTGTAAAAGCCGAAAAAAATCAATTGGTATGCAAAAAGTAGCCTTAAAACAGACTGCTGCCATTCCATACACTACTGAAAAGATGATCTGTTGGCATAAACTTACTTCCAAAACCATTTGTCAATTTACTGTAAGAGGTACATTCCTCTTTCTCTATTCCTCTGTCTTTCCATGTGATCTAGCCTTAGTTGTCTTAACCTGAAACAGTACAGTGAGAAACATACTTGTATCTGCGTTTACTCTATAGGCCATTTCCCTTGAAAAGAGGAGAATCCAGCTCTCCAGGCTTCCATCTGCTACTTAAGCACCTTCGCTCTCTCGGAGAGCAGCAGTTGGTGCAGATTCCTCCACTCAGGGAAGTGGAAGAGAGGAGGGAATGAATCTGTGAGTCTCCTGAGCCAGCAAGTACAGGTAATTGCAGGAAAGGTAGGATAAGAGGAGAAGGCTGAAACTGGTAATAGGGGCAACTTGCCCAGGGACACACAATCATGTAGGAAATGAATCTTACTGCAATGAATCTTGTGGGCCACAAGGAGAGGGCATTGTAGTTGATGGAGCAGAACTGCTGTAGTTCCTGTGGAGTCAATAAATGCATGGCAGACTTGCCTCGGGGAAGGGAGGGTAGAGACAAAGCTTGAACCAAATGCTCACACAGCCAAAGCTTCTTCCCAGTTTCCTCCTTGAAAATAAATGGAGAATAAATAGAAATAGAAAATAAATACAGACTTTCACAGTGGTAGCAGCAGGCTGCTCTTGGTTACTTGGTTAAGCAGTTGTTTGTCTGAACTTCAGCAAAGATGCACAGTATACAGGCTAAGATGCCTTAACTGCTGTGCTTGATTTGATCAAATTGTACCTCTAGTAAGGAGGCTGTAGATATTTTTTTGAGCAAAATCTTTATATTTTGTGGGTGTCAATCATACTGGGGTATAGATGAAGCTAATAAAATGGTAACTTCATCAGAAAATTTGCTGTGAGAGAGATCTGGCAATTTCTGTTATCAAGCACAGTAGAAAAAAATGGGTAATGATTCTAGTTGGTGAAAAATACACGGCCGAGTCCTGGGTTATTTAGCAGAATAGTAATAGAAGAATTCTTACCTACTATTTTCAAACTCTTACCTGCTAAAGCCTAAGACCTGGAAGCAGGACAAAACTGGAGAGATACATGAAGACCTTCAGAATAGTTTTTGTTCAAGGTAGGTTTTGTCCCCTTTGGAAGTGGTGTTTCTAGAGGGGCCATTTCCTAAGTAGCCGCTCGGTTCTCCGGCTCTGCCTCTTCCTCACTGAGCGCCGGTGCCACGGTGCTCCGTGCCCGGCAGCTGCAGCAGGAGCTGGTGGCATCGGTTCCTTGCTGGCACCTCCTCTGGGTGTCCGAGCACAGCGGCGGTGCAGGAGGTGACATGCACTAATGCCCTGCTTCTCGCTTGGCTTGTTGGAGTGTGTAACTCCCAAGTTAAAACTAAAGGTGGTCTCAATCAGGAATTTAAGGTGAGTTATGAAAATATTCACTGGAAAGGAAATGAGAGGGGGAGAACAGCTGACTGGAAGTGGTAAAACCAAATGTGGGGTCATGGTATGTGCTCTTTTCAGGGAAGATGTGGTCTAAAAGAGGAGGAACTGCCATTAACCATATCCCAGTGACACCGATGACATTTCCCAAGCTGATTTCTATCATGGCAATGTCAGGAGTTGCCCAAGAAAACACAGATTTTGTTGTTGTCAGTCACTACCGATCCACTTTTTACTGTGTGAATACAAATAGTTTTATGACACAGTCATTACAAAATGCAGTTGAAAGGATATGTTTCTGAGCTACGTGTATTTGTTGTTGCATTAATGATGATTCATACTCGATCCACTCAAGTTTGCAGTTCAGCAGTTCTTTTCTGTTTGCCAGTGCACTTAATTCTTGCTGGGGTTTGAGAAGTCACCCTTTGGTTAGGGATTAACATGTATCCTTGAGTTTCTTCAAACAAATCCGGTTCTTCTCAATGTAAAACTTAAGGATATCCTAGATGTAGTAGAAATCCTGGGTGTTTGATGGCACATGCGGTGCCTGTGCCTGGGGAGCTGGGGTTCTGGCGTGTTGCCCCACAGTTTCTGGTAGATTCAGAAAACATGGGTAAGACAGGGCTTGTTATTTTGGGTAGTAGCAGAAGGTTCTGATACATGTAATGGTAGAGAGACAGTAACTGAAGGTATGATTAGAAAGAAGGAATTTGGGAAATTGCCTTTGTTTTTTTGGTTACTGTAATTCTCAAAGACAACTGTTGTTGCCTGGCTGTGCAAATTGTGGTGGGGGGAGGCGGCAATTCGGAAGCTGGTGGTAGTGTAATTCAGCAAGGCCAATATGGTTGAACACCCCTTTCATAGCTCTCAATCTGGAATTTTACCTATAACTGAATCTGATCACTGGTGATTCGTTTTAAACAACTGTGCTTCAAATATTTTATAAAAGTTTACCATTTTGAGTTTCACTTCACTGTATTTTTAGTGTCATTTGTATCACAAGGAGTAGTTGGTAGTTTGGGACAGCAGATGGAGCTAAACTAAACTAAATAGGAAAAGTCTTTTCTAAATTAAGATTAATATAAGAATTACAGCTTTTTGCAAAGTTTTTTGCAAGGCATTCCAAGCTCTAATGACTTATGTTTGTTATAAGGATCCCTAACAAGTACAGAAATATGAAAAATGGTTATACTTGAGAAAGAATGCAGAAAAATGAGTGGAAATATAGATGCTACACCCTCTTAAAAATTGAAAAAGACTGAAAAACTGGGTAAAATAATCCGATGGGATAGAATTGTGCCATTTTGAAAGGACATATGAATAAAATTGTGCAAGAATAATTGTTAAATTGCCCCCCACCCTTCTACAATATCCAGTTCATGTAAATTTAAATCTGAAAAGCTATCACAAAGTATGAACATCTGTTTCCTTTACGAGGAATAACTAGTAATTCTTTCCCTTAACTTTCTTGACCAAATAATCCTTTCCTTTGCAGCTGGATCTGTGGGGCCTGGAAGGGATGATCTCTGAGGCAGGGCAGAGCTGGAGGGGATGGGGCCTCTCTTGTTCCCGTCCTGCTCTGGGCTCCGAGGTGGGAGTGAGTTGTCCTCCCTGCTCAGGCAGCAGCTGTGGGATCCCCGGGCTGCTCCCGTCAGAGTGTGTTTATCCCTCATCCCCCAGGAGCATTTGCGGGAGCAGCTGCCCTGCTTTCGGAGCACCAGGTTATACGAGATACCAGCCTTCACCTGGGGGGAAATGTCACTCTTTTATTGACTCCACTGGATCCCCGCTGGTTTTACAAGCTGAGAGCCTTCAGATATTGTTTCAAAATATTATCCTAGCAAAAGGTAACCTTAGACCTTGGTTGGGTCTTTATTTGCAGCATCTGTTTTCATTCCCCACTAGTCACAATGGATGCTTTTACTATATATTAAAGTAAAAGTATTTCCAATTGTTTTTTTTTAAAATGGTTTTGCTATAAATTTATTTGACTAGTGCTGCTGCCTTTTTTTTTTTTTTTTTGGAAGGCAAACAGATGCACTTTCCTTAAGTGTGATGATGTGTTGGGGCTTATTTAGATGGGGGCACTTTTCACCTCTGTCCTGGCCTGTGGTCTTTTTTCTCCTTAGCTCATTGAGCTCAAATGCAGTTAGGCTGAGATACTTATGTTCAGTTACTTTGTCCCTTTATTCCTTTCTTCTCCTTTTGCCTCTGTGATGCGTTTGAGTATGACCATGAGAGGGCCTCTCCCACAGGATGCATGCACCTTGCTTCAAGCTCAGCCTCTTAAACTACATGGGGAGGGGAAAAGATAAAACTATCCCAGCCATTTCTTATTAATGTGACAACAATGACTCTCACTAAAAATCAATGTGCAGCAGTCCTTGCATTCCTCTGCTGCTGGTTTATGAGCTAAGTGTTAACTGCGTTCAACTGGATTCCATTTAGCCAACGAGGGTTTTATAACCACGCTGAGCCAGCATCGGTTTTCAGTGCTACTGAATCAGCAGCAGCTTCATGTTGCATTTCACTTCTGGGAGAATCGTGTTAATTTTCTCAGATGCTCCCAGATTTCTTTTTGCAAAGGGAAAGAGCTACTCAGAATTACTTGTCAGTCATGTCTTGCATTTGCATTTGCATTTTCATCTCTGGGTGAAAATATTAGGATGTGAAATGCCAAGCATGAGAGCTGGAGAATTTGCATGTCATTTCCCACTCTTCTAGAAATATGATTTAAATAAGGCAGAATCTGCATGTAGAATCCACTCCTGCAAGCAGGCCTTAGAGGGGATCAGCAAGATTCTTGCTGGGTTACAAGGAATCTGGTGTTATCTGTGAATACTGTGCTTTAGGTAGGAGGACTTTCAGGTAGCACGCACAGTATCTTGTCGCTGCAGACCACACCGAATGTCAGCAGTTACTTCTAGAGCTCAGTGTTCAGCAAAAACATTGTCTCTCCATCAGAACTTAAGTCTTAACACTTAAACTGGAGATAAAGATCATCCATGATTTTCAATGTTCAGATCACCCAAGAATGAAGATGTTTAAGTAACCAGCTGCGCGCAGCCCTCACTGCAGTAGTATTTATTGCTTGCCCAACAAAGATGCTTATCCTGAAGCTTGTGAAGCTGCTGG